ATCTTATTTTGTATATACAGATACAAAATGGTTCTTCATTTATATCCCCTTTTTTTTGTTTAGTTTTGTCAGAGATGGGTATTCCATTGCCATTTAAATATTTTAGATTCTCTTTCAATTTCACTGAAGAGTTTGAGAAAAGTTGTCATCAAATCTTTTCTTTCCGGTTCCACACACACACACACACACACACACACACACACAAAATCTCCAAATGTCTTGTTGAATTCAGCTGTTAATTCATCAGAAACTGGACTTCTCTTGTTGGTAGGATTTTATTATGTTTTTAAATTTTATTTCTCATTATTGTGTTATACAGAGTTTGTGTATCATCCTGACGTAGTTTTGGCATTTCACATGTATCTAGGAAACTGTCCATTTCCTCTGTGTTTTCCATTCTGTGAGAGTAAAGATTTTGGAAGTAAGTATTGATGATCTTTTGATTTCTCTAGGGTGTTTAATGATTTCATCCTTTTTGTTCCTGATTACATGAATTTGAGGGTTTTTTCTTTCCTTTTTTTTTTTTTTTTGATAAAGTTGGCTAGGAGTTTATCAATTTTATTTATTCTTTCAAAGAATAAATTCTCTTATTCATTTATTCTTTGCATTGTTTTCTTCATCTCCATTGCATCAATTTCTGCCCTAATCTTTATAATGTTTCTTTTCTTTTGACTGTGGGCTTGCTAAGCTCTTCTTTCTCTAGGAGCTTGAGGTGAAGAATAAGATTGTTCTGTTTACCTAATATGCAAACTTACTGCTATAAGTTTCCCTGTTAGAAAAGATTTCATCGTATTCCAAAAGTTCCAGTAAGTTGTACCTGTATTTTCATTTACTTGTAAATATTTTAAAATTTCTTCTTTAATTTCATTTCTTATTAGTATGTGTTTCCAGTACATAATGAACACATTCCTCATGGTTAATTTGTACGTGTCCATAAAACAACTCTATTCATTTTTTTTTATCTCTTTCCTCTCTCCTTTCACTAACCCTTCCCTCCATTTACAAAAGATCTATTTTATTTCTATTTTTAGAATGTTTTTTCCTTTAAATCTCTTTTCTCACCCTCCCCTCCTTCCCTGCTTCCTATCTCTGTTTCCTTCCTATGTCCTAATATCAATCAACTTATTTTGCTCATTTGTTATACTTTGCATTTCTCCAAGAAGGGAAACAATGCAATATTTAAATGCATGTGTTTATTTTATTTCATTTAAGATATGCTCTTACAGTGCATCCATTAACCTAAAAATGTCTTAGAGTTATCTTTCCTTATGGAAAAGTAGTATACCATTTTATGTAATAAGGTGTATATATTTCCTTTACCCATTTATCTATTGATTGATATAAATGCTGTATTTAGCCTTTATAAACTGTGCTAGGGGGCCTGGCCCTAGCTCAGGCCTTTAAGTAGCTGCTTCCACAAAGCTGTCAGCCTCAGGTTGCTGGAGTTCGAACCTCACACCTCTCCAGCTGGCCAAAAGTGCTCTGAAGACATTCAAGGAACAACAACAACAAAAAAACCTTTATAAACTGTGCTACTATATTCATGAGTATGCACATTTCACTGTGATCTGGCGATTGTATCTCTTTCTGGAAGATATCTGGAGGGAGAAAAGCTGGGTCACATGGAACCAATATTTTTAGTTTTAAGAGCAATGTGTATACTGATTTCTATAATAATTGTACCAAGTGATATTTGTACCAACAGTGGAGAAGGGTTCTTTTTCCCAACAGCCTTGCCATAATTTGTTATTGGTTGATTTCTTGAAGATAGTCATTTTTTCTGGAGTGAGATAAAATCTCAGTGTTAATTCGTATTTTCTAATGGCTGAGGATGTTGAATATTTTTTTTTTCATGTGTTATTGGTTATTTATGCCTCTTCTGAGAAATGTCTATTCATTTCAGAAGCCAACTTTTGGATTAGGTATTTATTTTGGGCATCTAATTTTTTGAATATTTTATATATTCTAGATATTAATCCTCTGTTTCAGAAGTAGCTGGCAAAGTTTATTCCATTCTATAGGTTTTATCTTCACTCCACTGATGGTTTAATTTGCTACGCTGAAGCTTTTCAACTTTATATGATCCTATTTGCTGATTCTTTTAACATGTCATGTGAAATCAAGGGTTTATTCATAAAGTCCTTGCCTACACTTATGTCTGCAAAAATTTTACTATTCTATCTTCCGGAAGATTGTTTTAATATATACATTTGATCCATTGCATTTTATATTAATGTGACCAAAGAACTAATAATTAATGAGAAAGTAATAAGAAAGAGGATCCTCATAGGCATTAAAGCTTAAATAAAGAAACGTTTTCTTGGGTCAAGCCTTAAATTCCATTTCATTGTTCTGTGGGGTTTATAAACAGACCTCTTAAGGACATGTGTCACCCTATATTCATCATGTTAAACAATAGACTACTCAGAAATGCAGTATCAATATTTTTCTTTTTCTAAGAGTTAATAATCACCAATAATCATTTCTCTTAGTAGCTGAATTTGTAGTACCTAAAGTGAAATTGTTTTACAAAGCTAAAGGCTCTGTATCAATATATCAATCGAAGCCTGGGGAGATAGCTCAGTGGTCTAAGTGCCTGCATGACAAGTGCAAGGACCAGGTTGCATCCCAGGTACCACATGCTGTGCCGGCCCAGGCCTGGTGGTGGGATTGGGTGGGGGGTGGGAGGGCACACAACCAGCCATGCAAATTGGGCATGGTATAAATATATATATCATATATATAAATATATATTTATGATATACATAAATATATATCATATATATAAATTTAAAATATATACATGTTCATTATGAAAATATGCAATTCTATTGAGTAGGATGCTAAATTAATATATTGGATAGAATAATTTTAAAAAATTTATAAAATGAAATAAAATATGAAGTAGTTATTTATAGAAACCCCATTTTCCACAGTAATGAGAAATGTCTACTAATCCCCTCCCCGAAAAATACACTAAAGACAAGTTGCAAAGACACATGGAACTCAATAAACACCAGAGGCCTCCTATGATTGTTTTACAGGCTTCAGTGAGCTTTTGTGCAGTTCAAAGCACTAACTGCATGTATCTACTCAGACCATTGTGTGTAAAGATATCTATAAGAAAAGCAGTAACAGCATTTTACTTTTGAATGCACTGGCTGCTGTTAAGCTTTGGAAGCATCACAATCAAAGCTCTCGGTAAGCACTTACATCAGGTCACTTATGGATGGAAAGAAAGCCCTGCATTTGGGTGAAGAAAAGAAAACCATCTTAATGGTGACAAGATATTTTTCAGTTCATACCCAGGAAAGTAACCGTAGAACTCTCTTGGATAATAGGAATGCATCAGTACTACAAACACTCTTTGCTGCAGAGATGTTTCTTCACTTTTTTAAAGTATATGTCTATACACACCATTGATTTTTTTCTTTAAACATGCCCTTATCACTTGGTATTCCTAGATACAATTCTGAACTACAGATGAGTAATTTTTTTTACTAAATAAAGCTGGAGAGAACAGAAACCTTGTGTCTGATTTTCATTTATGTAAGGAATGCTCTTATGCTCTGGTCGTACATTTTATATTTCACACTACAAAGTGCATATAATATGCATTTGTCCAAAAAAAGTAACACGCAAAAGATAATGTATAAAGTGTAATTTCTCAGATTAAAAAATCTAAAATATAAAACACTGAATTTGTGCTAGTTATCTTCTTATCTCCAAGACTACAAACGTTTTACAATCAGAGCTAATTTTTACAAAGAAACTTAATTAATTTTTAATACAAATTTGATGTTACTCCCAGTAACCAGAAAATGAGACCATTGAAAAACTGAATATAAAAGGGCTAGCATAATTCACAGAACTAAGTGGAAGTGAATTGAAGTATGATACTATAAAAGCTATAACACTACCATAACTACTTTCACTGGGTCAAAGGGAGAAAAAAATTCACTATACTCAGTAAGGAGGATTTGGATTCCAAACTATCTATCCACTCTCACATATGTGCAAAGCCATCCTTCAAAAGAAGCAGCAAAAAGACTGGTGTTTTTTCCCCTTATTTCCTTGCTCCAAAATTTATATGCTGTCTACTTACTATGAAAGTTTGTTTCCTAGATAGCACTTGTCTGAGGAAAGCAGAATGAACAAAGCCAGTAATAAGTAAATTGCATAGATTATTATAATTTCTTTGTACATATATACATAGTTCTTCCTTGCAAGCTATGTATAGGAAACAAATTGCATAAAATAGAGAAGGATGGTCAAGGTACTGAGGCCACAGTAGCGTTTCTGGAAAGGACTCCATAGGTAGAGCACAGGCTGGATGCCAAAGCAGGGCATGAGGCAAAGTGATGAGGTTAATTTCCCCAGCTCTTGGGAGGCTGCAAACAGGCGGATCACTAAAAGTCTGATCTATATAGTGAAACCTTGTAGACCTTGTAGACCCTGTCATAAAATACAAAAAAAGAAAAGAAAGAAAGAAAGAAAATCTGTAACACAGGTATTGTATGTTGCCCTGTTTCTTCCTTTGTTTCTGATTTTTTTCTTGTTTTGCTTTTACTTTGCAAGATAAAATTAAATTTAAAAAATTAAAAAAGAAAAAAAAGAAACAATAAAAATAAAAAAATAAATTGGGGCAGAAGACAATACTGCTGCCACAACTCACAGGCAAGGAAATGCTGAAGACTGCAGGAACACAAAAGATACTGAAAGAGGAATCTAGTATTTGCTAACTCTCTGAACATAGAAAGCGAGGAAGAAAAGACAAAGAGGTCCTTAGTACTTTAATCCAAGAGACCAAGAGAATGGGGACCCTGATGTCACATATGGAGATATTAACATTGTAACCAAGAACTATTAAGTTCTACAGAAACCAGAACCACTTGACCCCTGAGTCAATACCTCATAGTCATAGTTTGGATTTCCTCCAATCCTTGCAGGATTTCTAAACATTCTTGCAACTTTTATGTACGTGTGTGGAAAATGCTCACCAGTCTGCCACCAGTGGTCGAGGACAGGAACTCTGAAGACTTTTTTGGACCATTCTAGAGTCTCTATATCACATCGTTCTCCAGCCACAAATAATGTTTTGAACCTGAATATTATGAAAAAGAGAGAACTCTAGTTATCCCTTCAAAGTATATCTGAACAATTCTATCTACATTTTCTTAAATGTTGTTGAACAAACTCCATCAACTTCATAAGAACAAACAACATATTAGCATTATACCATATTGCGCAATATGATATATGTTACTTCTTTTGGCCCAAATTAAGCAAATGAGTATCATGACAATGACATGCTTCAAAAGCAGAATTCACAGCCACAGCATCTCAGTTTTGAGAAGAGCAATTGAGTTCATCCTTGTAATGCATCTGTCATATTGCTCTAATAATCAAGCATGGAAAACCTTTCCTCTTTGACATTAGCCTTGCTAATTTTAGTTCCAAGTTTGATTTCTGTCGTCTCCTGAAGGTTATGTACAAAAAACACGCCTACAAGTATCTTTAAGGCAACATACATGCTTATAAATTGGATGCATTGAATTCTCTCATTCTGGTAAAGTTTATCTAATCTCAGGAGCATAGCTCTTAATTCTGAAGACACACATAGGAAAACTAGCTGGTGAAAAAGCAAATGTTAATGAGGCTTTCTAGGTCAAAAAGTTCTATGAATACAAGGATGCTAAGAAATGAAGGATCTAGACACAAAAAGTACAGAAGTGGATATCTAACAAAATTTTGTCCAGTTTGGCTCACTATTCCAAAGGAGGAAATGTTTTAGTTTTGAAGAGTGGAAACTGACAAAGGAACAGTGATATCAGGAGAAAATAATTCTGGAATTGTTATTGTAGAAAACATTGAGTAGAACATGAAGTGAAAGAGCTGAAGAGCAGTCAGCTGGATTTCATGGATTGAACAGGCAGACTGGAATGCTTAACAAGAATAGCATGGGTTGAGTTAATAAAGAAAAGGAGGGACCCAGCTAAAAAGGCTGATGTGAGAGTCTCGACAAGGGGAGTGGGAGGCATGAAAAGTACAACTCATATGGACAGAAAATACCAAAGAACATTGAGCAAAACTTCACAAGTCATAGAAGAAATAAAAAGTTTAATGGAAATGAAAGCAGAATCATAAAACAGGATATATTTGAGGAGAAGGTAATCTTAGAGAACTGGAAGATGTGTCTGTTCTAAAAGGTGACGATGGCTGAAAGACTAACAGAGGCAAGTACTGAGGAATAGGATTGTGTTGATAAAGAAGTTACTAGGGGCTAGCGGGTTAGCCTTGGTTGTCTAAAGTGCCTTCTTGAACAAAATCAGTCAAGGGCAAGGGATTGTGGTTTGATCCCCAGCACCACATGCAGCACCAGACCCTTCCTTTATGGCAGCCTGAGCCAAACCCCACCCCCCCAAAAAAAAAGAGAATCCTCAAATTCATGGGGTTTGCCTGAAGGCTCAATGGACTACAACACCTGTCTCAGCAGAGTGAGGCAGCCGGGGTTCAATCCCTGGCATGCTATGCCTGCCCCACCCCTCGGATACCCTGAGACAGCAATTGAGACTGTGCTTAGCAGTGCACATCTGTATCAATGTTTGGGAGGCTGAAAACAGGAGAATCACTACAAGCCCAATCTGCATAGTGAGACCCTGTACACCCTGCAGACCCTGTCATAAATTCATCTAAAAAAAAGTTACTTGCAGGTTCATGGTCATGACCTTCACTGAGGAAGCCAGTGACTTGACTAACGTGCTTGGAGTGCTGTATGAAGAATAAATTGTTAAAGAAATAGTTTGACCTTCAAAGAAAGATGGACTATTAAGCCAACAGAATTAACAAATTATGTTACCAAATTTGCTTTGATACCATCCCTGACTTTTGTGTGTAATTTTGGTCCTAAAGCTACAATTTGGATTCAATAGGAGGCAAAAAGTGAAAATCTTGACAAAAAAAAATCTTCATTTCAAACTATTGAACACATATGTTAATTGACTCCTAAATACAAATAAATCACTGATAAATAATGTCTGATTAAAGTGCTACCACCTGAAATTACGGCAATTTTCATCCATAGAAAAGCCTATCTATATATAATAATGTTGTATGACATTATTTAAATTGCATAAAACACTAGATATACTATCAGCATTCCACATGATTCCCAAAAGAAAGTGTAACCATCTGTTAATATGAAAATCTAGGAGGACTGCTAAGATCCAACTGAGATGTAACATGAATTGCAATGCAAGAAATATATATTACTTGAAAATTTCAAGGAGCCACATTAAGAGAAATAAGAATGAAACCTCAAGTTAGTTGTAACAATAGGTTTTATTAAACCAAATATACCCTTCATATCACTATTGTATTAAATGTGGAAATTACTAGTAAAATGTCTTCTTGTTTCTCATAGCAAATCTCAATTTGCACTTACTACATTTCAAGAGCAGCAGCCACTTGTGCTCAGTGCCTATCATATGAGAGAGTATAACAGAAGAACATGATTTTCTAACAGAGCAGCAGAATATTGCACTGATCTGGAAGAAGAAAAAAATAATTTGATACTCTGCATAATTCTTCCTCAAGTCATTACTTCAGTAATTTCTTTTTAATTGGCTGTGTGTGAACATAGATGTGTGGGTGTGCAACTGTCATAAAATGTAGTTAAGACAATGTATCATGCAGTCTTCCTCTACTATGCTTTATCCTCACCACAGTGTTGCAAAATTTAGTGTTCAGTGTGATCCAATAATTAGGCACATGATAGGACTTCTTATAAGGTCACAATGCTTTGTCACAAGCAACATTTCAGTAGCTATCCAATGGTGCATTTTCCAAAAGAATTGCCATATTATTTAAGAGCCATTCTTTGACATGAAGAATATCAAAGGTAAAATTTTAATATTGTAGCAAAGACAGAGGAGGATAACCTGGAATTTCAAATAAGTAAAGAATCTTTGTCAAGAAACCCTTTAAATGATTTTTATGAGTATCCTGTCTCAGGATGCAAGACTTTTAAGTTAATATTTAAATTTTTGAGAAAAGAATAGGAAACACAGAGTGTTCTGGCTTACCTCTAGATGTCTCCCGAAGCCTCAGGAGTTCATAAGTGGGCTTTTTCAGAGGCAGCTGCCTCTAGAGTGTGTGACAGTGAGATCAAGAGGGTCTGATTGGTTTTCCATATTTCAAGCAATATATATTTCTTGCATTGTGATTCATGTTACATCTCAGTTGGATCTTAGCAGTCCTCCTAGATTTTCATATTAGCAGATGGTGATACTTTCTTTAGAAAATTGTGTGAAACGCCAATAGCATGTTCAGTGTTTTATGCAATTTAAATAATGTCATACAACATTAGTCCACCGATTGGTTTGCCATAGTTCAGGGAGTTGATAAGGAGAAGGTGCTCCTTGCCCTATATATAGGTAGGTAGCCTGGATAGAAGTATAAGGAACAGAAAGAAGTCTGCTGGGCTTGCTGTTCCTCCACTACTTTCATGCCACCCTGCCTTCTTCCTGCCATGAACTGTTTCTCCTCTGTGATGCCTCTCTGCCCTGTGACGCACCACTGTGGATCCAGTCAAGGACAAACTGAAATCTCTGCAAACTGTGAGCCAAGTAAAACTCTCCTCCTTTAACTTTGCGTATCAGGTATTTTGTCTCAACAAGAAGAGTAACTAAGGCAACAAAAATGCAAAAGGAACAAGATTAATAAAGGACAGACACCAGAAAAAAAAAAGACAGATAATTTTTAGACAAATTACTTATATGATTGCAAAGAGGTAAAAATAATCAAATGCAAATATTTATAACAATATTAAATTTTGGATTGTCAAGAAGACCTTATCTGATAGAACTGATACAGCAGGAAGAAACAAATATTGCTACCTTAAATTGTTAAAAGTAAGTGGGCTAGGAGATAGCTCAGTGGTATAATCACCTGCCTGGAAAATGCAAGGTCCCAATTTCGGTCCCTTCTACCACAAAAAAAAAAAAAAAAAAAAAAAAGTAGAGTAAAATATAGCAAAGATTAGTGTACACATTTAACATTTAAACTAATGTTGATGCATCTATGACTTTAAATGTCACATGTAAACAACACAAAATTTAAAATATAAGGATTTTATTGTTATTGATACTAGGACTAGCAAAGTGAACATACTTTATACCAATTGTTCTTCAAACAAGTTCTTAAGATTTGGGAAAATATGAGAGCATTTTGCATTTAGAGAATTTTTATTGAATGTATAAAATAAAAAGGGTTTGACAAGTTCTAGCAGTGTAGGCAAAAAAAAAAAAAATCAAAAGAAAGTTTTCCCTCCTCTATACAGTCATTGATTACTGCAAAGAAATCAAGATGGTCCAGATGGCCATGTGTTTGGTTTATATGGAAAACTCAAAAACCCTAATTTGAAGATCTTTGCCATTGAAGACATGATGTAAAATCTTGTAACTAAAAAACATTACTAAGGCACAAAATTAGTTGGCTAATCAAAGTACAGCTGATACTGTGATATTACTCTTATTTTTAAAAGTTTTAATAGGTTTTTAGGCTTCCCCCGTCAAGTGAATTAAATTTAGCTAATTAAATGTAACAGTAAACCTTGAATTAGTGGTGAATCTTTATTTGATGGCAAATTTCAGCATTATGTTTTTAAAACATCATTTATTACAATGGTTTTGCCATGCAATTCTATTACTTTTTCCTTAAACTGCAATTATTTAGCTTCGTTATAATAAAAATCTTCATGTTGCCATTTGTAAGCAAAGTGGAGAAATTCAGTAACCCATAATTTATAGTCCAGGGGATGCTTGGCACCTATCCAAGTCCCTTTAATTTTTCATTAAAATTATTTTATTGTTATTGAAATAAAAAGAAAAATATGACATCATTAGTAACTTAGAAATTTCAAAGTTGTACAAGTGATTCCTTTGTCTACATATGTCAGAAATGGCTTATCCATATTAAAATTATTCGAAGTACAGAAAGCTATTAATAGTTTTATCAACCATATCCTACCAAGCGCATAACATTTAAAAACATAAACATAAGAAAGATTCAAGAATAAGACATAACTAATGAAAACAATTTAAA